AGCTTTCATGCCTAAGGCAGGCCTATAACTCAGTCTCCTGCTTTCTAGCCTGGAGCCTTAACTACTAAACCAAACTGGCTCTTTTAGTTAATTAATTAATTAGCTTAATTAATTAAAGCTTTAATTATTTACTCTAATTAAATAAACATCTAAAACTCAAATAATTAAACTGCAACCACTGTGCATGTCTACTCATAATTCCTCTTGAGTTCAGTGGGAAGTTGGTCTAGCTTTATAGCTTTCATCACCTAAGACTGCAATAATATATTGGCTTCCTTGAACAAAACTGTATACCTACCACCTGCTTTTTCTTATTTTTTCAAGAATACAGACAGGGCAGCCATACACTTCTTGTGACCCACCAAGCCTCCTGCTTTCTTTCAGGAGCACAGTAAAACTCCAACACTTTCTACTTGCTGGGAACTATAAATAAAGAAATGGTACTTGTCTAGAAAGAGGATATCTTTCCTGGATACGTAATAAGTTGACTGGTCTGGATACAGGCCTTCAATTCACATCTCTTACCTCTCTCCTCTGAATTTACCATTTTGAAAGGAATGTGGTTTGCTTGATTTGGGAGGTAAAGAATAACATTGCAGCCTTGTTAAAAGAAACCTGCACTTCAGATCTAGATTGTCTTTCTGTGCGGCATCTCTACTCTTCGCCAACGTTCTGCCCCCTTTCATTTGTCACTTTGTTGTTTCGGGACAGATTGTTTCTGGGACCTGATGGAATTGCTAATAGCACGCCTACCAAAGATCAGCCCAAGTCCGTACCAAGCGGAAGTTCTGGGGAAAGCATGGATTCCGTCAGCGTATCATCCTGCGAGTCAAACCATTCCGAATCAGAGGACATCTGTGTCACTCCTACAGACACTCCTGATGAGGCCCAAAAGAAAGTATGACCCGCAAAGACCACTCTTTATTTCCACGAGGAGATGTTGGGATTAGAGCAGGAGTTCTTAAACTTTTGGCCATCACTCCTCCCTTTAGTGTAATCTTAATGTACACACCTTCCCAAACACCAAAATGAATACAAATGAAAACAATACAATGAAACTTTGGGAAAGGTGGATTTATTGCAACAATGTACAACCAAGAGGTTCTTCACACCTCCCCTGGACTCTGTCTGCACCTCCCCAAGGGAGGTACACCTCACAGTTTGGGAAACCCTGGATTAAAGTCTATCTGAAAAGACTGATGCAGAAACTTTTCTACCCAACATTCTTCCTGGTCTAAGCATGAGATATTCATTTGAAACCCATTTCTGATTTTTAAACCTTGGGCATTATGAGATGGGGATTCGGATCCTCATGGGAAGTGAATGGAGTACCCCCACCCCACTAGGAATCACACTCAATGGGTGGAAGCCTTGTTGGAGTGTTTTCCTTTATGCCATGCTTCCCTTTGCTGCAACAGTGATACTTTGTGCAGTAGGAGAAAGCCAGATCCTGGTGCAATGAAAGTGCTCAGTGACTTTTTCAACTGATTTGCAGAGGACCCAATTTGCCCTCAGTGTGGTTCTGAAACCATGTCTGGTAATGCGGTTTGTCTCCATTCATCTCCTCTCCCTATAGAATCAGAGTTAGCAACTGTGAAACTCCAGATATTGCTGAATTGTAATTCATAGCATCTCTCACCATTAGAAGGGTATTTCAGTAATTATTTAGAGGGCCAGAAGTTTCTCCACCCCTGGATCTAGTTACCACCTTCCTCAGACAAGAACAACAATGGAGTCCTTGATGCCCTCTGAGCTTGGTTGTTTGCTTGCAGACGTTTCATTATCCAACTAGGTAACATTATCAGTGCTGGTGAGTGTGGGGTTTGGTCCCTGTTTATATAGAGTAGCTTGCCCACACAAGCAAGTGGTGGGGGTATGGTTTTCTCCTTAGTAGTTCCTTGATTAGGGTATTATTTTCTGCTATATTGTTTGTCTGGTGTTACTCCCTGCTTATCTGGGTGTTGGCTGCTCTAGAGGATGTGTTCTGGTCGTCTTGTTTCCTTCTTAGCTTTTTTATTGTCTCTCTTGAATGGATTCAGCCATCAATAGACATATAGAGATAAACCACATTTACACAATATTCAAAAGAGACAATAAACAAACAATCTAGCAGAAAACAACACCCTAATCAAGGAACTACCAAGGAGAAAAACACCCCCCACCAACACTGGCATGGCAAGCTACTATATATAAACAGGGAGCTAACCCCACACTCACTAGTTGGGTAATGAAACATCTGCCAGCAAACAACCAAGCCCAGAGAGCACCAAGGATTCCACAGTTTAACCCTGAGCTACATATGTTTTCTTCTATTGGAACAAGAACAACAAATAAATGATCTTGGAAGAAAAATAATGTTTCTGTGTTAAATGTAATCCTTAAAAACTTCATAAAAGGCCCTCCTGCTCTGCAGGGGAGAGAACCTTCAGTTTAAAAAAAGCAAAAAATGGGGGGGGGGGTTCTAAGACTGTAGTTAGATATAGCTGTTGTTGTAAAATGAGCTAACAAAAAATGGTAGATTCTGCCATCTGCTGGTCAATTCTAAATTAAGGAAATATTATTATGATTAGTTTGAAGGGAACTTGGGCTATATATAGTTCTTCTCCAGAGGGTATTAATACTAATATGCAAAGTAAAAGAAGCTCGAAAGAGCATATCTGTCTTAGCTCAGACTAATCTTCAGTTCTGCCAGTAGTACAATCCAATGTACGTTCCTTCAGTGGAACTTATTTCAAGTATTAGTGTATCAGATTGCTACTTCCAAGAGAGAAGAACATTCTGATCATCTGCAAGCAGGACAACAGTTTATAGTGGAGGCAAAGTTGTACTGGCTGAGGGTTATGGAACTTATTGTTCTGAACCTTTACCTTCAGCAAGATCTAGAAGAGATCTCAGGCTTATGCACTGCTCCAGATCACTAGATCTACAAGATTATATCACAGAGAGAGTCTGCTTCCCAAAAGGTTATCTACTCTTCATCTCCAGGTGGTGCTGTGAAAATGACCCTGAAGTTCAGCTGCCAGCTTCAGCTGGTAGCTAGTGGTGGTTTTGAACAAATCCTCAGTTTAGAAACGAAATTAAATGAATATTTTGATTTGTCTTTTATGGCTTCACTCCTTAGCTCACAGAGTCCTCCTCCTCTTGTTCCTCCATCCACTCTATGGACACGTCTTCATCAGGAGTATCATCCTTCACCAATGTTCTTGTGTCTCCTCCTACACTGGCCAGCAATCCCAGAATCCACAAACGCTCCGTCTCTGTCACCTCCATTACCTCAACAGTTTCATCTCCTGTTTACAATCAACAGAATGAAGATACCTGTATCATCCGTATCAGTGTTGAAGACAATAATGGCAACATGTATAAGAGCATTATGGTATGTCATGAGAACTGTGACTAGTTCTTTACAGGTGGCTGTATCATTGAGATACCACAATTTGAGAGATGAGCCATAGCTCAGATCCCATGTTGTTCACACAAAAGTTCCCAGATTCATTTTCTATTATCTCCTGGTAGCTGCAGAGGACTCCTGTCAAGAATACTAGAGCTCTTCTACCAATCACTGTAACAATTTCTGACATGCTGAATAATTCTGGTTGCATTTGCTTCTTCTGCATGCATTTCTTCCATGGCTCTTCCAAACAGAAATTCTAGGGCATTTTAAAATGTAACTGTTCTATCTTTTTGGTCCAGTGCTTTAGCATACAATTACAAGTAGTCAACCTAAGAAAGAAAAGTAAAATGCTTTGTTTAAGAATTGTTGGAGCAGACTAGAGTTTTTTAATCCAATAACCAATCAGTCAAGTTTCTCTAATCTGTTCTCTTCATTAGCTATGCTAGCTGAGAATTCTGGGAATTATAATCTCAACATATCTGGAGAACACCAGGTTGGGGAAATTGATCTACTTGGGTGTATCTATTTACACACACACACTGTCTCTCTCTCTCACACACACACACACGTTTACATTCAACAGAATGAAGATACCTGTATCATCCATATCAGTGTTGAAGACAATAGTTAATAGCCATACACTGCTTGACAAAAAATGGCAAAACTTAGAGTAGATAGTCAGTTAAGAGAAAAAAGTTTTTCCCGTTATTTGTCCTGTGATTACTGCACCATCAACTTTTTGTACCACTTTTTTGCAAGATGATTGTACTAGCTATCTAGACCACCATAGGACACTACAGATTTGTGTGTATGGGCAGAGATTATTTACACTGAATTAGCACAAACAGGTGGAAAGAGAATTAAGCCTTGTTGATTAACAGTTTCTGCCCTGCCTTTTATTCAAGCAAGGTTTTGACTTGCATGGAATTGAACTTGAATGAACAACATATAAGACCTACTGGAATCTCTCCTTTTTTTATATTTGTCTGTTTGGGGAATTTGTTTTTAATGTCACACCTCTTTAAACAATGATGAAATGTTCTAATTAGGGGCTGTTGAATCAAATGCAATATCATCACTCCTGGTTGTAAAAGCAACATAGCAGTGCCTCAATTTTCCCTTGTTTGCTGTTGGTTTGTGCAAATAGCTTTTCTACTGGTGCAGAATCCAGGCATACCAAGATGGGAAAACCAAAAATGTAAGATGGGATCTCTCTTTCTTTCTCTTTTTACTGGCTAGAGGTGCTGATTGTTTTTTGGAAAAAAAATAATACATATTGCATTTCTTTTTGTCAAGCTGCTTGAACAAACATAACCTCTTTTTTTCTAGAGTGAACAAACTGTAGATAGTAGAAACTCTAATTTAAGAAAGAGATTTCTACAGTGGTCATAAAAGATGGCTTCTCCTCAGTGTAGCAATACAAATTTGTCAGAATACAAAGCCTCATGTTGATTAAAAGTATGTCACATCCCTAGAAAAATACATAAATAAGCCCAAGAATTAAAACATTTAATTAAAACTGGTTAATTGTTGCTCCCAAAGCAGCAAAAGTAAGCTTTTCCCAGATTTTAGATGTCAAGTGCTTTTCTTTTCTTTTTCCTGGATTAAAATTGGAGATATCTATTTTCTCCGAGAACAAGGACCAGATGTTCTTCTTCCCATCATCTGTTGTTCCCCTTCATTCAGTAATGCAGTCAAAAGTCCCAGGTAATACTTCTGGGAAATCCTCAAATTCCTTGCTCCTTTCCACAAACAATATTAGGTCCCATAATAATAAGTGCGAGCTCCAACACGTAGCAACAAAATGGGTTTGTTTTTCAACACCTACTTCAGTTCCTCTCACATCACACAGTTTGGTATGTAACTCACAGCAGCATCAAGATTGTACTCTTCCATAAATACTAACTCAAGGGGGAAAAAAACCTTTGACAAACAGTTTATCTAAACTGCAAAAATAACTGTTTCTCTCAGCCAACTGTTTTTGTAGGATTTTTATCTGAAGAGTCCATACAGCTGATATTTCATTCCAAAAAGAGATAGCTCGGTGCACTAAGACTAGGCAACCGATAAATAAAGCCTGCCTGGAATCCAGATGTGGAAAAGAGAAAGGCCTCATTGCAATCTGTTCTTTCTCTCCAGTTAACCAGCCAAGACAAGACTCCTGCTGTCATCCAGCGAGCAATGTTGAAACACAACCTGGAATCGGATCCTGCTGAGGATTATGAACTTGTGCAGGTCATTTCTGAGGACAAAGGTAAGAAAAACAGGACTTTTGTTACTGCTTAGGTCATTTTTCTGAAGGCAAAGGGCTCTAGCCACTTCTCTTGGCTGTTTTCATTTGCAAATGTAGCCTGAAATTAATCTATTCTATCAGATCTGAAATTTAATATCTTAAAGATAGAGGGAAGAGCAAGGCCATAGGTAGGGTGGAATTGCCCTTGATAAAGAAAACCTTTCATGCCATGCAGACTTAGACTAGGAGCATGCGCAGAGTGCAGTAGAAAAAACAAAAGTCCAAGCTCACCAGCCAATCAAACCAAAGCAGTTGGGGGAGGGTTGCATTTTTTAAACAGAGACTGAGATCAAGAACATATACAGAATGCCATCATCATCATCATCATCATCATCATCATCATCATCATCAAGATATTGAATCAATGAGCCAAATCATATTTTTGAAAATTGAAACAGCAGCAGCAGTAGTTTACCTTCCATGCAGGCAGAGGCACCATGTAGTTAAACAGACCTTCTCTCTCCACATTCTACTTGCTGTGTAGTCTGCTGGCCAGACACCCATGTTGCAAGGGACAGAGTACCTGTAGAGTCAGTGCACCCTGTATGATCTAGCTAGTTCAGTGCTGGGGCCCAGCAAAATCATCCTTGACAGTGTGCAGGTGGGCCATGGGACTAGGGTTGTTAAAAATCACTCAAAAGTTTTTCTTCCATGTTTTCTATGCTTTCAGTTATCTTTGGAATATCCAGCTTTCTTGCACATTCATTCCCAATCAAGAATGGCAGCATGTCACTTAGGCACTGTTGTGACAAGTGGCTTTGCAGTCAGTTTCTTACAAGTTTTTAGGTTTACTGAATAACCTTGTTGCAGCTGCAGTCACCCAACCAATCCTTTTGTCCCTAACTGGAAAAAAGCCAATTTTTAAAAATTAATTAATTAATTAATTTATAGTATTCTGTATAGTGATTTACAGAAACAATAGGTTCTCAT